TCACAATATGAAAACGAGGAAATGCAAGGGTTGCTCATCAGCCTATTTAACAAGTGCTCTATGCAACTGCCACGTTAACGAGAACATTTTGTAATATCATTCAGCGAATTCTCTCTTTGGAAGCTGTATTTACCTCAAATTAATTCAGCTTAATTATCAATCTTCAAAAGACAATAAATTACAGATGCACATCATCCCACGAACACACCTCATTATCAGCTACAATGTTTTCTCAACTTCCCACGTCACAATTTCCTCTTCCTCTGTGCAACTTACGCTCGGCTGAAGGGCTTACGGCAGTCGCCTTGTTGCCGTGTTTGATCTGCGGCCTCAGAGGGGCAGTCGAACATGTGGCATCTCACCCACACACACGTATTTGCTTTCATCACCCGCCCGCCCAAATACACAGCTGCACAAACGCACATAAAAGCGCGACTAAACGCACATATATATTTGTGCATGTGCGTGTGTGCCTGTGTGCATATGTGTGCGTGCATATATACGTATTTATGTCAGGCAAATGACCCAGAACGAAAAACATACTGAAATCCTATGCCGGTGAATGGTAAAGGTACGTACAGATCTAAAAAAAGACAGGCAGAAAGGACTAACAGGGGAAAATAATGCTTGATAGCCGATGGATTTCTGTTAGACAAAGGGCAAGCAGGAACCAGTCAAAATGGCTTACATAACATTACCTGGTGTGCGATGCAAGTGACAGAAGATTTATTGAGAGTCTGAAGAATCGGGTGACACAAAAATGTACTCTCTGATTGTCCGTCTGTCTGTCTGATTATCTGTCCCTTTCTTTCTGTCTGACTGTCTCTCTCTCACTCACTCTCTCTCTCTCTCTCTCTCTCTCTCTCTCTCTCTCTCTCTCTCTCTCTCTCTCTCTCTCTCTCTCTCTCTCTCTCTCTCTCTCTCTCTCTCTCACACACACACACACACACACACACTCTCTCTCTCTCTCACTCTCACTCTCTCTCAAAATGTTTTAAACAAAAATAGCAATACCAAGATTACTGGCAGGTAATAGCATGCTGAAAGAAGTTTGTTTCCCTTAAAAATAACATAATATAAACAATACAATATACTCAAGTCCGTGAATATATATAAAAATGAGTGTGTTCTGTAAATGTTTCTCATAGATATTCTATAATATGGTCTTTGTTAGATGAAAATTAACTTAACCACTCGCATACAGTACTGCCCCGGTCTCGCTCGCTCTCCTTGCTTTGAACAAGCACAGAGCTCTAGGCGCTCAGTGCCATAAGATCGAGTTAACATCGGTTTGGTTATGATAGGTATGCTTATTAATCGACCTAAATCAGGAAAGAGATATCCTAAGTTCACCCCTCTCTTTCACCCTGTTTAATTAATGATCTATTTATTTATCTTTCTTTCTCTCTCTCTCTCTTTCTTTTTTTCGCTGTTTCTTCTTTCTTTTAATAATTAGATTCTTAAATAGAGAATAGATTCTAAACCCCTTTTATCATGAACTTACATGGCATAGCATTCCGTGAATACGAATATCAAACACTCCTGTCGGTGAAGAAATATGCCGTTATACATTATGAAATATACATAAAAGGGTCAAAAGCCAATATAAAGTTCATGCTAATAATCAGTAATGGATTAAAAAAAACAAAAATAATTTTACTAAACTGGAATGCTCCTACAATAAAGAGAAATACCTGAAATTCTTACTACTACTACTATTAATAATAATAAAATATTCAGAGATTTTAAATTCGGTTCCTCAAAAAGTAATAACGGGAAACTTTACCAAAATTCTGCCCTGTCCACGAGTTGTTTCATACTAAAAATGCTTTTAATTACATATTAGAAAAATAACAGGGCTCCACCTTTATCCGGTATATCCTTTTACAATACGGCGTGCGTGCAAATCTATTTATAAATTCGAATAGAGAACAGTAAGACCAAGATCACGTCGGCTTAGAGAGTTGCAGTGGCTGTGAAATGCTCTGGGGATATCATTTCTTTCCGATATATGCGACACAAAAATCTCTAAATAAATATCTGAAGCCAACGATCTTCCGTCTGCGGAATCAGAAGAACGCACAATGTGATAGGACCTGGTGCTGCAAGAAACGAAACGGAAATAGATAATAGTGATCAGCGGTGTTGGCTGGACGTGTCGAAAGTACGAAAGGTGAGCAAGGAAGCTAAATCTATTAGATTTTGATAAGATAGCTATGCCCCCTTTACGGAATCCCTTTGCTACCTCAGACTACCTCAAATATCCTGGTGTGGACGAGATAATGGCAAACTACCTGAAGAGAACAATGAATAATGGTTTTAACCTTGAGAGATACCGAATGGATATGCTTTTCCCCCAAAAGGTCGAAAATATAATGGCCATGCAGAGACATAATCGAAATACCTGAATCCTCCTCTGTCCATGCAATGATATATAAGAAAATAAGTTTTGCGTGTATTACTCATATCTTGACCGTTTAGCCAAACTGCAACAAGAAATCTACCGCAAAGTCTTATTACTTCCGAGAGACGAAAGCATCCTCTGCCATATGAACCTTTTGATAGGAGTAAGAGCCGAGGGTTATGTCGTTGCCTGGGTGAACTATCGCTTGTCATTCTCGCCTCTTTGATCTTCGTTGCGGTGCATGACGGCAGCGCGATCGTCAGCCTTTGAGACTCGCTACCTCTTGGGAATGGAGAAAGCGAAGGGAGCAAGTGGGCCACTCAGATGGTGGTGATGATGATGGTGGTAATGACTGTGATGGTGAGGACAGTGGTGGTGATGGTGGTGATGATGATGGTGATGATATTGAGGATGGTGGTAATGACTGTGAGGGTCATGATGAGGATGGTGGTGGTGAAGGTGATGATGATGATGGTGATATTGAGGATGGTGGTAATGATTGTGATGGTGACGATGAGAATGGTGACGATGGTGACGGTGATGATGGTGGTGGTAATGCTGACAGTAATAATGATCATGATTATAATGCTGCTGCTGCTGATGATGATAATAATAATAATACGCAAACAAAACAAAACAGTGAAAAAAATTAGCTTCTCATTGGCAAAATTGTTCTTCAGGATTGTAAACGGCGGTATACTAACCTAGGCATGGCATGGGCATACTGCTGAACATCCTTGCATATAGTGGATTCAGGACTACGTGAGTCTATGTGGTACAACGCGTGATATAACGAAGGATGTTAAAAAGAGCATGTGTGGAAGGCGGACAGAGCTTGTCTGTTCCGAAGAAGTCTTGAGCAAAGAAAGAATAAGACGATGTATTTTTAGGGAGATTTCACGTCACTCCTAATATGCTTTTCAAGAGTGTGAATGTGAGGGAAATAATGGGAAAAAAGTAAAAGCTGGATATGAAATGGATGAGAAGAAGAGTCAGATGAACTGTTTGCTTTTTCTCAGGAAGATCTCAGACTGTCTGGCGGAGAGGAAAATCAAATAGACTTCATCGTAATGACACTGTCTTTGAGAAAAATATTGGAATGGAATGGGAATTAACGAACGTGGAAGCTCGTAATGAACAGGGAAACGGATTCACGTACGGAGGGGATGATCTGACCAGATGGTAGAGACGAAGGGTATAGAATGGATAATAGAGATATGGGTATTTGGATAACTTGCAATTCCTTAAAGTCAAAGAAAATGAAATGAAAAAAAAAAGCAAATGACTTACGGATATCAAAGGAGATTGAATCTTGCAATAAAAGGAATAAGATATCAACTTCAAATAGCTGAGCTTTCTCAGATATCACTCTGGAATACTGAATGGGAGGAAGAGAGAGTTTGAACAGATGAACCAGAGGGCGGAAAAGGTGATGACAAGGAACGGAACATTAAATCCGGAGAGTGATATACTGTAGACCGAATGCGCGTTCCAAGGAAGATAGGAAGAGAGGTCCTCATTGGGAGTAAAAGGTGCATTAAGGATGAGGATAATAATGATAGGTGTATACCAAAAGCAGCATGGACCATTCCTACCACCAGAAGAAAAAACACAGGCGAGAAAAACAAATGAGTGCATACAGGAGGAGAGATTTAAGAAGAAGGAAGACAGGTTAACCAGGTCGATCCTTTTTAAGGAAGATAAACACAGATGTAGATGAGGCATAATCCTAAGAATGGAAGCAATTTTTAAAATAAATTAATGCTCAAAGTTACACATTAACAAGGGTATAAATACACCATTGTGCAGGCTTTGTAACGGATTTCAGGACGCAGCGTGATGAAATAAGAGATGAAAGGTGATGAGACACAGTGATCCCTACGACCTTCTTGCACTTCTTGGAACAACATTTGTGCAGTTGAGAAAGGACAGGATATAGAGGAGGATCTGAAGAGGAAGAAAAATCTGATTTTGAGTGCATTACGAAGAGGGCAGTAGCATCATTTGTGACGTATGCCCCTAGAGTAGTGGCGAGCGTAGAACAAAGTTACACACCTTCAAACGCCTGTATTACTGGGACAACAAGAATTACTCGAAAGATGCCTTTAGTGTATAAAAAGAAAGTCAACATCTTAACAAAACGGTAACAGCAATATCAGCGATAGTGTTGAAGACTATGACCGAATGATAATGGTAATAATAATAATAAAGATGAAAAATAATAATTATAATAATAATAGTATTGATAACAACAACAATAATAATAACAATAATAACACCAAAAACAATAATAACAGCAATAATCATAACGACAGTAATAACAAAGTAATAATTGGATAATATAAATAATAAAGAAATAACACTATGGATAACAGTTATGATAACAGTAATAATAATAATGTTAAACGCAACAACAAATAATAACAATACAATAATAATATTTATAACAATGATGATGATGATAATAATAATAATAATAATAATAATAATAATAATAATAATAATAATAATGATAATGATAATAATAATAATATTAATAATAATAATAATAATAATAATAATAACGATTATAATACTAACAATAATAACAACAACA